ATCCAGCAAGATGGATCTTTAATTATTATTGTTACAATTTCATAAGACAGGTTATATGTAAAATACTCTTTGGTCAGTGTTAGCCCTTCCAAGATAGATCTTAAAAGTTTATCTTAAACAGTCCTTTCATAATCTCAGCCACAGTTCGTGCCATTTTTATACAAAGTGTTAAGTGGTCTGTCTTTCTACAATAAAGTGGGAACAATGATGGTGTGGTGTGTTGCTGATGGTTTAAAAGCTCATTATGTGTGGGTTGTAGTAAAAGGCCTAAAGCCTCTACTCAGATCTTGGGTGAAAGAAAAGCAGCTGAAACTGACCTTAAGGGTCATGCTGGACAGCTTCAGAACACCGTCGCCTCCTCCCGCCCCACTCTGCACACTGACCCCTGGACTTCTGAGAGTTCTCTGACCCCAGGTGGCCAGGATGAGTGCAGCCAGTGAAAGTACTGGCAGGGGGCCTAGAGCAAGAGACAGAGGACTGGGATTGTGGGTTCCCTAGCTGCCTGTTGGGACTATGGTGGGTACCAAAGACCACAGCTTCTATTGGAACCTAGCTCTCTGGGTTCGGCTACCCTAGCACCTTGCTGTAAGTAGCTACATAATGGGCCACCAATAGAACACTCCAACTTCAGGAGGACATTGAAGTATTCAGGATGGGAACATAAGGTCCTCGGGCCATATAATGCTAGCGAAGCCATTTGGTACAGGGCCTCTGGTGAGCTACCTTTATGGACAATTTTGTATGGCCAATGGATGATCTTATAAATATCCAAATAGTCTGGGAGAAAAAAACCTCTCACTCCTGATAAAGAGGATGCCATCAGAATATGGGGGCAGTGAATAAAGTGACTCAAGTCATTTTTACATATATTGATAGACTCCACTGGTACAGTTTTCTAAAATGAGTAAAATGCATCTGATCCCATATAATGCTCAAGTCTATGGCCTGTGCATTGTGTGCATGTATGCCAGGCCTAGGGCTTGAAATCAGGGTCTGGGTGCTATCCCAGAACTTTAGTGCTCTACTACTTGAGCCACAACTCCACTTCCAGCTTTTTGAGGGTGATTGATTGGACATAAGTCTCAGGGACTTTGCTGCCCACACTGGCTTTGAACTGCGATCTCAGCTCTCTGCCTCCTAAGTAGATAGGATTACAGACGTGAGACACTAGCACCCGGCTACATCAAATTTTTTTAAGCACTTAGGTTGTAAGCTAGACCGATCTGCTTAAACTAAGCCAGCAGTTGGCTTAGAGAAGTGAACCTAGGGAAAATGATAAGAATTAGAAAGCTAAGCTCTGATAACAGCAGAAATTTGGCTTCTTTACTTTCCTGGAAGTAAAAGGTACTGACCTTATATAGGAGAGCAAAAGAACTCAGCCATGAGAGACAAAGCAAACATGAGGGGAGGAGCTCCACACCACAGTGCTTTGGAGGCGCCCAGGCCCATACCCAGATCCTTGCACTTCTGAACCCTAGCCAGAGTCAGCTGAAGCACGGCTGCCAACCTTCCAGGCTGGTGGAAGAGCACAGCCACATAAGCACTTGCACAGTGCCTGGCATTTTAATAGCCACCTGAACATGAGTTCACTTCCAGTTCCCAAGTAAGCCAGCCATCTCTGCTAACCCCAAAGGACATGCCAGGCCCATTGCTCAGTAGACTACTCAGCTCAGCTATCTTCCAGTGAGTCCTTTACACATAAAGTTATAATAACGCCTTTATGACCAGGTGTGGTGTTACACTAATCCCAGCACTTGGGAGACTGAAGCAGGATCTCAAGTTGGATGCCAGCCTGGGCTATATATAGCAAGTCCCTATCATAAAGAGTAATAAAACCAGCTGGGCACCAGGGGGTTATGCCTATAATCCTAGCTTCAGGAGGTTGAGATCTGAGGACTGGTTCAATGCCAGGTCATGGAAGAAAGTCCATGAAACTTCAATTAAATACCAAGCCCATAGTGGAATTGTGACTTCAGTGGTAAAGGGCTAGCTTTGAACATAAAAGCTCAAGCACAGCACCCAGGCCCTGAGTTCAAGACCCAGACAGACAGACAAAGCACCGTTTACATAGCACCCCCACCAAGGTGGGGGAAGTGTTCAGTGCTATTGGATGTCAGGACAGTAGTTATTCTTGCAGAGGAACAGGGAGTCCCTGGAGTACAGCCATGATTCTTAGTCTGGGTGCTGGTTGGTTTTCTTGTGTTTAGCTACAGAAAATTAATCACTACTGCAATGTAGACAGCTGAGAATGTCTTTGTTTTTAGCCTGCACTTAGGTAACTTATCAAACAAAAACAGAACCTCCTATTTGACACTGGTAACTCCTCTGCTAAGTACTCTGAGAAGAGTTCTAAAGAGTCTTCTGTGTGGTTCCTTTAAAAGCAAAACCAAAACAAGCACAGGTAACAATGTTGCACGCCTGTAATCCTAGCTAATCAAGAGGCTGAGATCAGAGGATCATAATTCAAAGCCAGCTCAGGCAGGAAAATCCATTAGATTCATCTCCAATAAACTCAGAAAAAATCTTAAGTGGTGCTGTTGTCAAATAGTAACGTGCCAGCCTTGAATAAAAAAGCCAAGCAAGAATGCAAGGCACAGGCCGGGCACCAGTGGCTCATGCTTGTAATCCTAGCTACTCAGGAGGCTGAGATATGGGGATCATGGTTCCAAGCCAGCCCGGGCAGAAAAGTCCGTGAGACTCTTATCTCCAATAAACCACCAGAAAACTGGAAGTGGTGCTGTGGCTCAAGCGGTAGAGCACTCACCTTGAGAAGAGTGCAGGGACAGCGCCCAAGCCCAGAGTTCAAGCCCCACAACTGACCAAAAAAAAAAAACATGCAAGGCCCTAAGTTCACATCTCAGTACTGACAAACACAAAAGGCAGTAAGTTGGTGCTAGAAGTATAGCTCAGTGGAAAACCAATCGCCTATCATGTATGAGGCTCTAGTTTCTATCCCTGGGAATATGTACACATGCACACCCACAAACATTTTCCATGCCTCCATAGATCACATTTTTTTTGTTGTTTCATTGCGGGGCTTGAACTCTGGGCCTGGGCGCTGTCCCTGAGCTCCTCAGCTCAAGGTGAATGCTCTATCATTGAACCACAGTACCACTTCTGTTTTCTGGTGGTTAACTGGAGATAAGAGTCTCACAGACTTTCCTGCTCAAGCTGGTTTTGAACCATGATTCTCAGATCTTAGCCTCTAGAGTAGATAGGATTAAAGGCATGAGCCACCAGCACCTGGAGATCACTATGTTTTTTAGACCCAGATATTCCAACTCAGGAATAATATCCAGTTTTCTACTAGAGAAATTTACACAGAGAACCAAAGCCACTATATAGCTGTTGCTCAGCTGTGTAGGCCCTAACTCATCAATCCACTCAGACCCAAATTAGCCTGTCCTGTCCTTGTTCCAGCAATCCCTAGTTCTGTGGCAGGTCTGAGGAACAATACAGGATGACTTGTGGACCCTCTAGTCACCCCTACATATATGAATGTTCAAGGCAATCACAAAGTTCTGAACCCACTTTGGCAAACTAGTCTGGGGTATGCTGTCAATGTACCTAAAGCTGGAGGGGGAAAAAAGTATACTGTTAAGATTAATAAAACTCACTCCAAGCCAGGTGCCAGTGGTTCACACTTATAATCTTAGCTACTTAGGAGGCTGAGATCTGAGGATCCCAGTGCCAAGCCAATCTAGGCAGACAAATCCATGAGACTCATTCCCAGTTAACCAGCAAAAAGCCAAATGTAGCTCAAGTGGTAGAGCACCAGACTTGACTGAAAAAGCCAAAGCCACGCAAGAGCACATGGCCCTAAATTCAAGCCCTAGTACCAGGCCCCCCCACACACACCAAAAGAAAAGAAAAAAAAATCACTCTAAAGCTAGGCAGTGACATACACCTTTAATCAGGAGGCAGAGATGGGAAGATTAACTGAGGCTCAAGTTTTTGAGACCAGCCTGGACAATACAGTGAGACCCCATCTCAAAAATACCTATATGATGCCGGGCACCGGTGGCTCACACCTGTAATCCTAGCTACTCAGGAGGCTGAGGTCTGAGGATCACAGTTCTAAGCCACCCTGGGCAGGAAAGGCCACGAGACTTTTTTATTTTTTTGTCGGTCGTGGGGCTTGAACTCTGGGCCTGGGCGCTGTCCCTCAGCTCTTCAGCTCAAGGCGAGCGCTCTACCACTTGAGCTACAGTGCCACTTCTGGTTTCTAGTGGTTTATTGGAGATAGGAGTCTCACGGTCTTTCCTGTCTGGGCTGGCTTTGAACCGAGAGCCTCAGATCTCAGCCTCCTGAGTAGCTAGGATTACAGGCGTGAGCCACCAGCGCCCAGCCACGAGACTCTTATCTCCAGTAAGCCACTCAGAAAACTGAAAGTGGCGCTGTAGCTCAAGCGGTAGAGCGCTTGCCTTGAGCTGAAGAGCTGAGGGATAGTGCCCAACCCCTGAGTTCAAGCCCCATGACCGACCAAAAAAAAAAAAAAAATATATATATATATATATATATGATTCCAGGCACTGGTGGCTAATACTTATAATCCTAACTACACAAGAGGTTGAGATCTGAGGATCAGAGTTTGAAGCCAGCCCAGGCAGTAAAGTCTGTGAGACTCATCTCCACTAAACTTTTTATGCCACAAGTGGAGCTGTAGCTCAAATGGGAAAGCACTAACTAGTCTTGAGCAGAAGAGGCTTAGAGTTCAAGCCCCAAGACTGGCACACACACACACACAAAAATCCTTTCAATTATAAAATATAAAATGGTTCTGTGGTCTTAAAACCTGACTTTTCTAGAGAAAAGTTATTTGTCAGAGTAATGTTATTTGTCAGTAATAAAGAGCAGTGTTTCCAGCTGCCTCTGGACATAAGCATCCCATTTGGCATGTGCACTGCCATGTCATGAGGTATGTATGTTTCCACCAACAGCAGAGAGATGTAAGTACAGTGTACTGATGGAGTTACGAGGAAAGAGTCACACAGTCCACGTTCAGCAGGAAGATTCCTTTATGATGGTGAATTTGATACACAGTTCTAGAATAGGGCCTCAGTCACTGGAGGCAGGAAGGAGCAGGTCTAAGAAGGACCAACCCACACCAGGGCTCACATCACACGGATACTCACCCCAGGAAGGACTGCCCATGCACCTCCCCAAGGCTCCACCCACCCACCAGTTCAGTCAAGAACTATGTTGCTGTAATTCCTTTTTGGCCACGGAAGATAAAACTCCACCCTGAAGAGAGGATTTCTGAACAACAGTCTCTTTCCAGTCATGATAGCTATGCATGTCCAAGCTCTTGATGAGAGAACATTCTTTCATTTGACTTCTCTTGCAAAAGCCAAAGAGAATTTCTTTCTGTATGATCTGATGAAATATTTATATAGGCTTTAAAAAAAAACAAACAGTCCATTCTGTGCTGTTTCCCTTGAAGGTTTTCTCATGATCACCCCTCAACAGCTAGAGAGGTTGTGTGTCTGGGAACAAAGAATAAGACACTTTAAGCAATAAATTCTAGTGTGACACTCACTAGGTCATGGGCTCCAAGGGTGGCAGGTGCTGATGTAGGAGCAGGGCCTGGCCTTCTAGGAAAGCTTAGTGGACACAGTGTCAATGACCAGGGACACTGCTGGAGAAGACTCAGATCACCCTGATCCTTTCCTGATGAGGGATGCCACAGCATCTGCATTTGGTCTTCTCAGGACCAAAGACCTCACTTCCAACCCTTCACCCACACTAGTGGGTGCACACTAAGCAGGGTGGTCCCTGGCTAAAACAGGCTGAAACCAATGGGCTTCAACTTCCTGGGCCCAATGGAGCTCTCTTCAGGCTGCTTCCAGCAGGAGGACCTGGGAAGTTCACTATCCAGGCAGCAAGGGAAAGGAAAAGACCAGGAGGGAGAGGCTGCCAGGGCTGAGAGAGAAGCAGCTACAGGCTCTGGATCTGGCTTGTCTTTGTGCAAAGACCTGCTGCTGCCACGGCCACCTTAGCCCTGTACTGGAGACGGGGGCATTTGCACAGCCAGCAGCAGCCTTAACACACTCCCAGAGTTCCCTTTCATTTGTATATATTGAGCAATACATAGATAGATAGGACTTATTATTCTTAACTGAAATTAATGCAACGGATTCAGGTTCATGCCCCTTTGCTGTGAGCTGCTCGGTCCCCTGCCCTGAGGGGTTTATGCCTTCGGGCCTGCCGCCAGGCTCACCCCATGGAGGAAAAGTGGCCCCAGGATGAGGAGAGGAGAGGACATACACAACAGGTGACCGGGAGGAGGGCCTACCTCAAATGACTTCTGTTTCTAACCCTGAGAACCTAAGGAATTGTGAAGGACTCGGAGAGGGAGCTGGGGTTAAAGGTCACCGGGCTTTTTATTGCAGTTGAAGCAGACTCGGACAGGATGATCCCAGCCACGAGAAGGGACAGCCCGGCGGTCATGGGAGCACTCGTCACAGAAGCCCTGTCCGCAGGCGCGGCAGTGGTGCTTGGATAGTTTGACGCTGAACTCCTTGCGGCAGTTGTGGCAGTGCAGGATCTCGTGGTCAGGCACCCAGTAGGCCGGCCTGGCTGCATCCTTCACCAGGCCTGAGGTGGGGAGAACCACGATGGTCAGGACACTCAAACCCAGACTGGCAAGAGGGCCTCCTCGAACACTGGCTTGTGCACCCAGAATCGCCAGCAGTGCTTTTAGAAATCCCAGACCATGCAGATGACACTCTCTGGGGCTGGGCAGAGGCACTGACAGTTGCATACCTGCTAAGTTCTCCACGGAGACCTGCTGGAACAACTACAAACAAGTCTGGCCTAGAATGAGACAAACTTGCACCCATACTCCACTGAGCACCAGTGAACTAGCAGCAAGCTGCAGGATTAGAAGCTGTTACTGCTCTCACTGCCCAGGGGCTTACTCACTTTTAACCCCCCTCCAAGACAGATGAGAATGACAAGAAATAGCACGGCTAACACCCTGACGCCTGGCAGATCCTGGCAAGTGAGCCAAGAGGCTCACTTACTACATGTAGAGGTAGCCTGCCAGGTGCCAAAAGCCCCCCTTGCCCTGCCAGGTGCCCCTGAACTTCATGGCCGGGCAAATCCACTTGTTCCTATACCCTGGAGTTAAAAGCTCATCATTGCATTCTGTGAGCTATGTGGTCCAAACCTTTTATAAATCACCTACCTGGAGAGTTGATTTCTCCCCTACAGTATGCCAAACTACTACCAGACCTACCCAACCCTGCTAAAGCCTCATTGGTCCTCATTGGTTGGTTTCTCAACCAATGTGTTTCCTTTTGCCAGTAGTTTACACTCATATCTGCAGCTGGGGCACAACCTTACACGTTAAACTCACAGCAAGCTGTAATGCACTAAAGACAGGTACAAGTTCTTGGACATGCCTCCCATCTGTGACACCCCTACTCACTCCTGCCCTAATCTAGGTAGGCTCTGTGACTGCAACAGACTTACCAGTTTGCAAGCCTGGACTGCAAAGAGGCTGACATTGTCTACTTTCTGTTTCTTTCTGGAAACATAAGCTCCTAAGGCCTTCGACCACCATTTACGGCCAGCTACAACTAAAGATACCATGTGGAAAGGCCTGACAATACCTGGGCTCTACTGCCCACTTCCAACTGTCCCACGGGGGCACTTGACATATGCCATCCTAGGAAATCAGATAGTAACTTTAGGCAACACTATTGGGAGCTAAATAATTACCCTTCCTGACTTCTAGACTCACACACTTGTAAGAAGAAATAAAATGGTGGTAGAGAGGCCTTTACATTTCAAAATTGTTATGCATAAATAAGATGATTGAAGAGGATGGCCTTCAGGAATAAACAGGAAGCTACTAAGGGATTCAGCAGAAACAAGCAAATGTAAAATTTTAATTGACTCCTTACTGCCCACCTCAATCTAGGTGGGCGAGCATTTGTGAAAACAGTCCAGGGCACCTGGAAACCCTTCATCCCACATACGCTAGCCCCAAGAGAAGCAATGCCAGGCCCACCTAGTGGTATGTCAATGGCTGTCACCACGGCTCCTAGAGTGTTCTGCACCGCCTCGCCCACCTTCCGAGCGATCAGTGTTCCACCTTCATCATCTGCCTGTGCCTCGGTAACATCTGCAGAAATAAGGAAAAAGGAAAACATGTTGCCTCTTAGTCATTTCCCAAATGGAAAAATTAGGGCCACAGCATGACACTTCGAAGTCTACTCCCTGGACTGCTATGCTGTCCTAATTTCAGCCAGGTCTGGAAATTGAATGACATCTGCTGTCCTTTAGCTTCAATATTCTGGAACTATTTTGTAAGACTCTTTTAAGGTCACCAAGAAAGGTTCGGAAGCCAGGCCACCAGTGGCTCATACCTGTAATCCTACTTACGTAGAAGGCTGGAATCTGAGGACTGCGGCTCAAAGCTGGCTGGCAGGGAAGTCTGTGAGACTTCTCCAATTAAACACCAAAAAAGCTGGAAGTGGAATTGTGGCTCAAATGGCAGAGTATTAGCTTTGACCATAAAAGCTCAGGGACAGCATCCAGGCCCAGCATCAAAAACAAGGAAGAAAAAGGAGGGGGATGAGGGGAGAGAGGTGGCTCAGTGGCAGAGTGCTTGCCTTGCATGCATGAAGTGGAGGAGGAGGA